AATAAATAAAAATTTTAAAAATTAATTTTAAAATTAAATTTAAAAATTTAAAAATTTTAAATTTTAAAATTAATTTGAGTGTTTAGCTGAATAGTTTAGAAGCCTGTATCCTGTATCAGAGTGCCTGAGTTCAACACCTGGCTTTGGCTCTGGCTCCTAATTCCAGGTTCTTGTCAACACAGACCCTGGGGAGGCAGTGGTGATGGCGCAAGTTACCAGAGTTCCTGTGCTGCACGTAGGGGACCTGAATTGAGTTTCCAGTTCCTGCTTCAGCCAATCACAGGCTGATATGGGCGTTTGTTGAGTGAACCAGAGGATGGGAGCGCTGTCTCTTGAATGATTACATTAAGAAATAGAGAAAAGACTTGTTGGAGCTAGTTTATGCCAAGTGCTGGGTACTTAGCGAGCATTTGATCTGCTTTCGTTTTCTCTCCAAGGCCACAGTTAGTGCTGTAGCCAGGCCAGCGCGGCCTGAACTCGGTGTACCACCCACTTGGCCAAGAATGCCCACGCCCCTTTTTCTAGCTCCCAAGCCTTGTTTCTGGGGTGAGTTGTCGCCCAGGCTTCAGCTCAAGCATTGCTTTCACTGTGAGGGCTCCTTGGCCAGTCTCCAGGCAGAGGTACACACTTTCTGCTGTATTTGTTCCAAGAGATTCCTTGCATGCCCTGCACACCAGTTCACTTTATTTGAGACTGGCATGGCATGGCAGAGACAGGTTCACTAGTTTGAATGTTTTCACTTCTTTACTCCTTGCTCCAATTATAATTCCTGGAACACAGAAGGCACTTTATAAATATTGATGAATGAATAAATGAAAAAGCAGTCTCTATTGATCTGAAAGCCTAGAAACTGAGGAGAAAGCTCTCTACTAGCATTAATTTTATTTTCTTGTTGCCTTAGAGTTACTTGTAAACTCTACCTTATTTCACCTTGAAATAAATTCATTTGAAGAGGCACAAGTCCAAGCGCCATTCGTAGAAACTGGAATACAGTGCCTGTGTGCCAGTCTTTCATTGGTTTTCGCTGTGGGAATGTCTCGATCTGAACATCGGTGCTCATAAAAGGGATTGTGGATGTAAACTACCGAAAACGCTGGTGATTGACTGAATCTGAATGGGCCCCAAGGCATAGCCCAAATCTTTCTATGAACATTTTAGCATATTAACTTTCTGATTATTGAGATTTTATGATAATGCTTTATAGTATGTTTATAGCCATTCCGCCAAAGACTTTTGAAACTTGGGAGTCTTAAATGTTATATCCTGTTAAATGTTATTATTTTTTATTTTTTATTTTTATTTTTTTTGACAGGCAGAGTGGACAGTGAGAGAGAGACAGAGAGAAAAGTCTTCCTTTTGCCGTTGGTTCACCCTCCAATGGCCGCTGCAGCCTGCGCACCGCGCTGATCCGAAGCCAGGAGCCAGGTGCTTCTCCTGGTCTCCCATGGGGTGCAGGGCCCAAGCACTTGGGCCATCCTCCACTGCACTCCCTGGCCACAGCAGAGAGCTGGCCTGGAAGAGGGGCAACCGGGACAGAATCCGGTGCCTCGACCGGGACTAGAACCTGGTGTGCTGGCGCCGCTAGGTGGAGGATTAGCCTATTGAGCCGCCGGCGCCGGCCTAAATTTTATTTTTAAAGTGATCTAAACCTGGCTCTCAGGTCCTGAAAACCGCCTTTCTCCAGCCCTGTGGTCAATAACTTCTACTTTTCTGCTCTCTGTTATCAACTATGTCTGGAAGTAAGAAGGACTCTAAGGAATTTCAGCTCTGCCTGCTATTGACAAGTTAATCTTGTGCTACCTTTCGCTCTGCTACCAAATCTAATTCTCTTGCCTGCACTTCAGCCCTGACTAAAACCTGTGTGGCACCTTGGTCCTTCCAGGATGAGAACTTATCTGACTTCTGTCTACCTGTTGCTGAGGACAAGTGCCCCCAAACCTGAAAATCTGGGAATAAACTCTTTCTGGGGCTTGCCCCATGTTGTTCAATAATTCATTCAACAAACATTTGATATAATGCCCAACATCAGGCACTATGACAGGAGGGCTACAAATATGATGTCAGCATGCTAAACTCTTAGGTAAAGAAAAAGGGGTATGAAAGGAATTACAACAGCCCATTGTCATAAAGCACACCTATAAAGAGTTGGCAACAGAAGCCAACTGGGAGTTGCTGGATGCCTGAAGGCAAAACTCAGGTTTGTTTCACTTTTGCTCTCAGGATATAGGCCTCAAAGGCCTATCCTATATATAGGATATAGGCCTTCAAAGAAGAGGACAGGGCTGGATGCAATAAGAACATATTTCATTCTTGGCTGCTGTGAGATAATGCTGCAATAAACATGGGAGTGTAGATAACTCTTTGATATTCTGATTTGTATTCTTTTGGATATATGCTCAGAGGTGGGGCATATGGTAGATGCATTTTTAATTTTCAGAGTTTCTCTATGCTGTCTTCCATAAAGATTGCACCAATTTACTTTCCTATGAAGAGTGTACAAGAATTTCCTTTCCTCTTTATCCTTCCCAACATGTTATTGTTCTTCTTGATGACAGCCGTGCTACTAGGGGTGAGGTGGTATTTCATGTAGTTTTCTTTTTTTTTTTAAGATTTATTTATTTATTTGAAAGCTGGTTCACTCCCCAGTTGGCTGCAACGGCCGGAGCTGTGCTGATTCGAAGCCAGGAGCTTCTCCTGGTCTCCTATGTGGGTGCAGGGGCCCAAGGACTTGGCCCATCCTCCATTCCCTTCCCAGGCCACAGCAGAGAACCAGATTGGAGGTGGAGCAGCTGGGTCTCAAACTGGCACTCATATGGGATGCTGGCACTGCAGGCTATGGCTTTACCTGCTATGCCACAGTGCTGGCCCCTCCTGTAGTTTTGAATTACATTTTCCTGATAGTTAGTGATGTTTCTTGCTTTTTCATATGCCTGTTGGTAAGCTGTATGTCTTCCTTGGAGTAATGCCTGTTTAGGTTCTTCTACCATTTTTGAAATTGAGTGATTTTTTTTCCTATTGAAATGAAAGGGCCGGCGCCGCGGCTCACTAGGCTAATCCTCCGCCTTGCGGCGCTGGCACACCGGGTTCTAGTCCCGGTCAGGGCGCCGGATTCTGTCCCGGTTGCCCCTCTTCCAGGCCAGCTCTCTGCTGTGGCCAGGGAGTGCAGTGGAGGATGGCCCAAGTACTTGGGCCCTGCACCCCATGGGAGACCAGGATAAGTACCTGGCTCCTGCCATCGGATCAGCGCAGTGCGCTGGCTGCAGCGTGCCGGCTGCGGCGGCCATTGGAAGGTGAACCAAAAGCAAAGGAAGACCTTTCTCTCTCTCTCTCTCTCTCACTGTCCACTCTGCCTGTAAAAAAAAAAAAAAAAAAAAAAGAAAGACATTCTTATGCTCATATTTTGAACTTTAGCTTTTTATCAGATATGTAGCTTGTAAATCTTCTCTCATTTTGTAGGATGCCTTTTCATTTTGCCAACTGTTTGCAGAAGATTTTTAGTTTGACATAATCCCATTAATTTTTGCCTTTGTTGCCTGTGCTTTTGTTGTCATAGCAAAAGAAACCAGTGTCAAGGATAATGTCAAGATGATTTTTCCCTGTATTTTCTTCTGGAAGTTTTATGTCTTATGTTTAAGTATTTCATTTTGAATTGATTTTTGTGGTATAAGTTAAGTGTCCAGTTATATTTTTCTGCATGTGGATATCTACTTTTTCTGGTCCTGTTTGTTGAAGAGACAATCCTTTTCCTCACTGTGCATTTGTTGCATCCCTGTTAAAGATCCACTGACCTTAAATGGAAGGTTTTTTTTCCCCCTCCTGGGTTCTTATTCAGGTCCATTGATCTATATGTTTTTATGTCAAAGCCCTATAGTTTTGGTTCCTGTAGCTTTAGAATATATTTTGAAATCAGGAAGTATAATGATTGTAAACGTCTATCAAGAAGGAAAATGTTGTATTACAGAGAATATCATTCAACTTTAAAAAAGAATATCCTACCATTTGCGACAATAGGAATGCAGCTAAAGGACATTACACTAAATATGAAGTAAGCCAGACACAGGAGGACAAATACTACCTGACTCCACTAATACAACTAATTTGAAATAGTCAAATTCACAGAAGTGGAGAGCAGAATGGAGGTTGCCGGGATTAGCAGAGAAGAGAAGAGGAGTGTTAGTCAATGAACACAAACTTTTAATCATGTAAGATGACTAAGTTCCAGAGATCTGCATAGCACAAAGCCTGTGGTTAGCAGTGTGGTATTATGTACCCCCAAAATTGCTAAGAGCGTTGGTCTTATGTTGTATATTTTTATCACACATATAATAAAGAGGGCAGGAAGATTTTTTTAGATTATCAATATGTTTATGGTATTAATTTTGGTGATGGTTTCATGAATGCATACTTACCTTCAAACTTAAAAATTATATACATTAAATATTTACAGCTTTTTACATGAAGATCATACTTCAATGAAGTTTTTTTTTAAGCAAACCATATTTCACATGAACAATAAATATGCCCTGAGGGTTCTAAGAAAGAGACAGAGGCTGGGAGTGTATTTCCACAGAACTGAAGAACTTGTATGTGACTTCTTGCACTTGAGAAAGCCTGAAGCAGCACAGCGGGACCCTCACATATGACATCTTTTATCCCACACCAAGTGAAGAACCTTGCTTTATGATTCTAGTTGAACCTCAAGACTACAAACACATGAGTCTAGTTCATTTCATAGGGAACGGGATAGAGTCCCAGTATTGTTGCTAGACTGGAACCATCTCACAGGCATCCCTGTTCCTAGATGATACATGGGTGTTTTGCTTATTGTCTCCCCATTGCCTCATCTTTGACCAGAAAAACCACATATGATAATATACCTGGCTAAAATATATGTCTCCATTCTTGAAGAGCTTTATCTCCTGCTGCAACAGTAAGCAGTATAATGTGTTGAAATTGTATCAACCTCAAATAAATCATACCAAACCCAAGGCCATGGCTACCTGGTGGCAAGAAGAGGGTAGGAGTGAACTGGGCTGAACCAGGCTTCCTTCCTCCGTGGCATGCTCTCATAGATTAGAAGATCCTTTTCAGTCAGTACAACCAGGGATGGTTTCCACTGTTTCTCACTCTCCCCTGGCACCTGAAACACAAAGCAGAGAAAGTTCAGTTAGAAAAATGAAACTGGCATCTGCCAATCAGAGGACCCAACAGTAGGAATATCTTTTATTCAAGCTACACAATCAATATGGAAGAAAAGAACTCAAATCATGATTCCATGATTCTTGATCCCTGGTGCCCGAAAATATCCAGTCTTGAAGACCCAGGTGTGTAGTTAGTACAGCCAAGAAGTAGCCCAGCTGCTATCCATCGTCTCTGCTTCTCACCTGCCACTCAGCACGGAATCTTTATTTTACAGTAGGAGGCAAATGCTTCAGAGGAGTAAGTATGCCAGCTGACTCTCTAATATAGTATACTGTTTTTATTATGAAATGATAAAGCGTGAAACCATTTGTATAAACATGCAAAGCTCTGAAAAACATACTATGGAGGCAAATATCTACCCATACAAGTGTGAGATAGTACAGTTTCTTGTAGGCAGGAGATTGATTTGATAATTCAAGCACCATCTTGACGTTTCTTTTGCTCTATGGAATGTTCAGTTCCATTCAATGGAGAGAATTCTTTGTGTGTGTATCTGTATGCGTGTAACTGTCTTTTTTGAAAACAAATATTTACTTATTTTGAAATACACAGTTATAGAGAGAAGAGGGGAGACAGAGAGAGCTAGAGCTTTCATCTGCTGGTTCACTCCCCAGATGACCACAATGGTTAGGGTTGGGTCACCCTGAAGCCAGTAGCTTGAACTCCACTCAGGCCTCCAACATAGATGGTAGGGCCCAAGCACTTACACTTGGGCCATCTTCCTCTGCTTTCTCAGGCCCATTAGCAGGGAGTTGGACAAGAAGTGGAGCAGCTGGGACTCAAACTCAAGCTCATATGGAATGCCAGCATCTCAGGCAGTGGCTTCACCTGGTATGCCACAATATCAGCCCAAATGCAGCCAGTTCTTAACTCCAGGGCTGAGATGACATAGCAGGGATGTTAGAGGACTCAAAATCAGCTGGATAACTGGACTTGATTAATTTTAAGGTCCCTTCCAATCCAGAGAGTAACTCAGACCTTATCTCATGAACCATTCCCTTGGCTCAGTGTTAATCTTTCTCAAACTCTGTAAACTTTCTTTTGTGTATAAAAATGCTTTCCTTCTAGTTTGAACTCTGGGCCCCTGGATTCATCTTGAAGTTTGTCTGGAACAATTCAGTTCACCTCGAACATGAACCACATATTCCAAACAGCAGCAGCATCAAATGGAGATTGCTAGAAGAGTCTCAGGCCCAGCCAGATCTGAATCAGAACCTACATTTTAACAAGATGTTCAGGTCATACGTAAGATCATTAAAGATTAAGACGCACCACTCTAGATGAGGTTAAGTTTGACTCTGACACTGGCAACTAATTAAGTGAAGATGCAACCTTCTCATAACATACCACAACTCAGTATCTATTCAGTAAGCTAGACCGTACAATAACAGCAAAGCTAATTTCTTCCCTTTGTATGTTTACCATTACCTTATCTGAATTGCCTTAATGAATTTGTATTGAGGTGGACACATGGGTGTAACTTTTGCTTTAAGCTAACACTCATTATCTAGTACACTAGGAATGAGTGATCGAAGTGGACAAGAAGTACAAGATGATGTAAGGTTTGAGTTTTGTAGGTTCTACCTAAAGGTGCCTGAGTCTCAGTTCTGTTATTTATTGCCTGTGTGACTTTGGACAAGTTATTATTCTCTGCACTTGCATTTCCTCACTGACAAGGATAACATCATCTGTAACAGTGGTTAGGAGTGCTGACTCGGAACTGGAATGCCTGAACCCAAATTGCTATTCCACAATTTACTAGCTGTGGGGTCTTCTTCAAGTTATCTTGTATCTCAGTTTCTGTATATGTAAAGTGGGAAATGATAGTACCAATATCAGAGGGTTGTTGTGAAGATTAAATGAGGAAAAATTTGCAAAATGCTTCAGGCAGTACAGAATAAATGTCTGCACTTATAACACTACAGAGGGCATTAAAGAAAACAGTGTGAGTTAAGCACTTAGCATGATAGTGGTAGATAGTAACACACTCAATGAATCTTTGGGAGAGGGGGCGATTTTGGCAGGCCCACCAATTTTTAAGCATGTTAAAAATGGTGTCTTTTGAAAATGGCAGCAATATGCCAAGGTATGACTTACCTTGTGAAAAATTATAAGGCAAGCCAAGATGATCATGGGTATTGACAATTTCAGTATCTTCTCCTACCAGCATTTTCTAAGTTCTCCAAGGAAGAATTCACAGAATAATGAATTACTATATTTTAATGAACAATGAATTATATTTTATATTATTATATTTTAATGAACTTCTTCCAACAACTCCAGACAAAACCTCCCTTTCTTAAAAAAAATACCTTTATCAACTTTCAACTATTTATACTAGAGTGTAACTGACAGGCTTATCCCAACTTTTACATATATTATGAATATATAACCTAGCTCTAGTCTATTGCTTTTATAAAAAGATTTTTTTTCCAATAGAAAAATAGCATCTTTGGGAGATCAAAATGGATTGTTAGAGAAGGTAATGTGCCAGATCCTACAAGGTGAATAAGCTCTGGTTTCAAGGCAAAAAGTGGTTTCGGGGGGTAGAGGGGGTATTCAGAATAAATTTTTCCAGCTCCTACATTAAACTTAGTAAATTACTTTTCCACCTCATTAAATACAACTGGAGAAGCTACAAATGATCCTCCCCATGTGACTATCTTACTTACCTAGTCAGATTTGATCCATTAACTTTGACTGGAATCAGTCATTTAAATGTGGACATGACAAAGCATCATTCTCCCAAAATAATGTTAAGTTTGCAAAATAAAACTCAACAATAAATACCAATTGTCAATGCAGATCTCTCCATTGGTGGAATCACAAACTCACCCAGATGTCAAATGGCTTATGGAGGTTTCAATAATTCCAAGACCTGTAAACATTTGGGAGTTTATAAAGAGCCCCATGTGGATATGTTCAAATCTGCTGTGAGACTACTTGGAGCAAGTATTTTCTACCATTCCTGTGTGCAGAGCTATCACCTTAATATTACATAAAAGCTTGAGGGTAGAAGACTGCTCATGAGGACTACTGACTTTTGCCAGAAAAAATACTTCATGCTGAAAAAGAGGGATTTTTAAAACCACACCCTGTGCTACATGAGCCTCACAACTTAGCTTTTGAAGAATTTTTATCAGATGTATTTATGCTATTGTTTTAATGAAAACTTCCATTATAAATCCAGCTTTATTCACACCCAAAGATATTTCAATGTTAGTGCAAATGTGTGGGGGATGTCTGTATTCTATTGCAGAGTGACTCCTGAAACATAAACGAGAAACTTGCATTCCACCCCAGCTTCTTTTGGATGCTACAACCATCAGTTTCTCAAGAACTGATCATGTTTTTCTAATGAAGAAGGTAAAGGAAAGAAAATAATTTTGAAATTTCATTTCTGAATTTTTTGAAGCCATCTTTGGGAAGCTGAATCCCATTCCCATGTTTACTTTCACGGAACATGGGAGCAATGGTTCACAACATGGAATGAAGAATTTAAGAGTTGGTGGTGGCCAGCGCCTCGGCTCACTAGGCTAATCCTCCGCCTTGCAGTGCCGGCACACCAGGTTCTAGTTCTGGTCGGGGCGCCGGATTCTGTCCCAGTTGCCCCTCTTCCAGGCCAGCTCTCTGCTGTGGCCCAGGAAGGCAGTGGAGGATGGCCCGAGTACTTGGGCCCTGCACCCCATGGGAGACCACGAGAAGCACCTGGCTCCTGCCATCGGATCAGTGTGGTGCGCCGGCCGCGGCAGCCATTGGAGGGTGAACCAACGGCAAAGGAAGACCTTTCTCTCTGTCTCTCTCTCTCTCTCTCTGTCCACTCTGCCTGTCAAAAAAAAAAAGAGTTGGTGGTAGGAAGTTGCTGGCAGGAATTGTGGGAGATAGAGTCCCTGAGTCCTCAAATTGAGAGATCCCAGAAGTCATCTAGTTCAGTGGCTTTCAAGTTCTTTACATCTTTTGAACTTTTTGTACAGCTTTAGTGAGAACTCATAGAACAATATGTAAAAAGAAAGTCTGTATGGGGTTGCCTCTTGGCTGGGGCTCTGACTTTATCTGTTTATTCTACCTCTAGCCACACCTCTGAGTGTGACTGCTGGCAAGTCTTGGAATAGAGTATGAAGCATGTTGGTCTCTTCTCCTCTGTGATCCTACAAATCTGCAGATTACTTCCAAAGACACAGTTTTACAAAAACTTTTCAGTGCCACTTTTGCAGATATTTTCTAGGAATTCTCTGAGGCAAAATGGTTAGGATTAAGTGAATTAATACATTAGAGGACTTAGAAAAGTGTCTTTCATGCAGTGAGCAAGGTAAGTCTTGAAAATTCGCTGTTTTTACTATTACACTAAGGTAAAGGCTAGTGAACATCAAATTAAAGGATTCGGAAAACTTGAGGGATAATTATTTGCCTTTGCTGAATCTAAGTTTCTTCATCTGCCAAATGATGCAGTCTGAAATTGCTAATGGCCTCTCTAAATTCAATTATTAAACACAATTATCTTTTTTTAAAAAATGATTTATTTACTTATTTGAAAGGCAGTTACAGAGAGAAGGAGGGAGAGGCAGGGAGGCAGAGACAGAGTGAGAGTGAGAGTGAGAGTGAGAGAGTGAGAGAGTGAGAGAGTGAGAGAGTGATTTATTGATTTTCCATCTGCTGGGTCACTCCCCTAAATGGCCACAGAGGCCAGAGCTGGGCAGATCCGAAACCAGGAGCCAGGAGTTTTTCCCAGTCTCCCATGTGGGTGCAGGGGTCCAAGTACTTGGACCATCTTTCACTGCTTTCCCAGGCACATTAACAAGGAGCTGGATCAGAAGTAAAGTAGGCCGGCGCCGCGGCTCAATACCTTGCACCTGGATCATGGGTAGCAGAGAGGGTTCATGTTCTTTACAGTAAAAACCACTGGCTTCAAAATTCAGCTTTGTTAGTTCCCAATGAGGA